TTTCAGAAAATGGGATCATCCTCCCTTTAGTACGTATGTATAGGATAAAAACATGGAAGATGGAATAATACACTCGGTGATAGGTACATCATTAATGTTGTGGAGACTACATGCCTTAATAACGTAACTGCTGTTCCTCCACTCTCGATATAATGCAAAGTTGAAGATCATGTATTACGGACCTGTGTAACAGTATTCCTGTACAGGCTAGTTTTAAAGCACCCCTGCACTGATTTGCATCTTCTGGTCATCATTGGCATTAACGTGACGTTTCATCTACGTTACTATATTTCTACACTTTCCAATCAGTTCGTTTACAACTGGAACATGTAAAGTATTTTCGCACAGGAGATATAAAGTGTGTGTAAAGCATGCTTTCCGAATCTGTCTGAGATAGCTTTTACTGTATTCGCCCCATTGTCGGACACGAAGGCTACTATCTTCTCAGGATTAATTTTGAATTCTGCAAGAACTTGTTCCAATGTATCTCCAATGTAAGCGGCTGTATGTGCTTCTGATAATTTAATCACACCAATTGTACCAGAAAAGATTTACTTCTCGTCCATGAACTGTAACACCTATCATACTGTTCATGTGGCAATCTGCTGCCAGCAGTTGCCGGCCGTCTTTTCACGGAGCAGCATCTGTGTCGATCGCGCCCGTAAACCATAAGCGCGTATTCTTGTAATAAGCGAATCGCGGCGAAATTTTAAGAAAAATAAAAGTAAAGAACCGAGCGAAACCTTCTCCATTGAGCCACCGTATCTAAGCCGAAGGAGATTCCCCCTTTCCATTCTACGCGCGGTCCGTGTGCGTGGAGGGTACCCTGAGAAGTCGCACTGAACCCTTTCACCATTTCAAATGCGAATATCTCCGAAACGAATCAATAGAATTTAAAAAGCAAAGCAGATTAGTAATCACGATTAAATTGGCTTTCCAATAATGTGCCATTTGCCATAGGATTCCATTTAAAATTTTAGGAGTTAAGCTCCCTACGTAGAGGAGTGAAGACTTGGGTTCGTGATTTGTATTCCAGAAGTTGTCCCCCTCGAATACAAAATTGACGTGTTCGAGGATTTTTCGAAATTTCTAAACTTAATACCCTAAAAGCCCTCTGTATACTTCTCGTTGGGCCACTCTGTATAATTAAAACTTGTAACCTAATGTAATCAAACTAAGTTTGTTTTCTTAGGTCATATTATTCTGTAAAAACTTAAAGATACTAAAAAATAAACTAAATAATTTTTCCAAATTAGTTGTTCGGTCATGTGGCGTCTTACAATTTCTCTAAAAGTTTTCCCATTTGCGAACTGAAGTTTTCCATTGCTTTTTCTTGCAAATCGCGAATTAATTGTAATTTTTCTTGATGGCGTCTTTCGATGTCCTGTTCACTACAAAGTCTTTTGCGAGATACTGAGGGAGTAATAGCCGGCGATGCACAGTGACACGGATCATTTGAAGTTGAAGATCTCGATTGATCACTATCTTCATTCTACGAAAGCGTAGAGCGGACATAGATAAAATATTTTACTAATTTCAAGTTATAACTCGAAACACAGTTACATAACATGCATATATATACAATGTATCCAGTTACACATACCCGTGATACTCTAAATATGGCAATCAAGGAGAAATGTGTTCCACATAGACAAGTTACAGACATCCCATGTTTGTACAAAGCGACATCCCTGACACATTGTTATGTGACGAGCATATTAAGTCGTTGTTATAAAGCTCATTAATGTACCAAACCTAAATGTTATACACATCACATAGGTTGCTCATTGTTACAATAAAAATGGCATATTACGGAACTGCAAGGTATATATAAAAGCAATTAAATATTTAGACATAGAGTATGTAGTTTTTTATTTAATAACATTTTAATGCATACATTGAAAAACAGATATCTACTTTACAATTTTTTTCTTTTTAATCGTTGGCTGCAAAGCCGAAACCACTCGGAGGATGTGGTTTCAAACTCTTTTTCTCTCATCGTATGGACGTCATAAATGATTTCTGAAACAAGAAGCATTGAAACTAGGAATGAATGCAGTATACAATTTTAATTTATTGAATGGGAGTTTATGTTTCTTCTAAATTGTCTAAACCTAATACAAAAAGAAGAAAGTAATTCAGATCTACCATTAACAATTTTGTCTAACTTACTTCTGCTCCAGGTTCTGCTCCGAATTCGAGAAAATAAGCGCTTTGTACCTTTAGATAAAGAGTGTCTGGAATTCTGTGAGCTATTTTACTCACCTCATTGGACACTTAGCATATTCCTTAACACGCAATTTCTTAGTGGGTTTTAAAAATATAGGTCCATTAACAGCCAGGAAAACAAAATTTAATTTTAAATTGTCGCAATGTAGGGTAGTTATAGAAAATGCTTTTGGTTACTTGAAAGGACGGTTTCGTCGTTTAAAATTTCTAGAAACTGTGCGACTAGATCTCATTAATTAATATTAATTAATAGTTTACGGATGTGTTTTACATAAGTATGTATATTGAAAGGTTTGAAAAGTTTGTAGAACCAAATGAAATAGAAGTTGGTGACAATAATGCTGTGCATGGTAATGAACTGAACGATGTACCTGCTAGAGACAAACGTAACTATATAATGAATACATTGCCACTAAATGAACGTTTTCAAGACTAAAGTATCATTTTAATAAGAAAGATTAGCAAATAAAGTGTAATAATAGTAATTTATTTTTGTAGGTCGTGACGAAATCTTCGAATAATTTAAGAAATCTATCTTGCCTTTCCATCTTGTCCCTATGCCTTTTTTCTAATTCATTTAAGCCAGCCTTTCGTTTCCTTGAAAATGTTTCTAGGTTCTCTTGAGATTCGCCTTTTTGTGTATTGGTCACAAGGCCCAGCAATTGCGTCAGTGTTTCTGAAATAGGTGGGCACAAATTGCTCCCAATCTGCTTCAGGTGGGCACCAACATTGTAGATTCTTCAGCAAATAAAAAAAATTATTATTAAAAAATTATTATAAGTAACTTATGCGGGTGCATTTGCACTCGGTAACTATCGCATCCAAATCTATTTTTTGAAAACAATATGGACTATCCTCTGGCACCCTATTATAGTAGAGTAGCCACTTAAACTGACAATACCGGGAAGATTTAAAACTTCTCCACTTGTTTCCAAATTTTTTCTGAGGAAACACACTCGGTTTTGGCTGTGTAGGACCATCTGTTTTTGATGTCGCTAAATCTTTGGGATTGAGAAGACAATGTTGGGTCACCGGTCGGTACGGGCACCGATTGCAGTTGAGCTTCTTCCAAAACAGAGTCAGACTCGCTCATACTTTCCCCACTTTCACTTCTACTTGCCGCGTACGCAAAAGTATTGCAAATTCATCTTCATTTTGGTCCGCACTAGCACTTGCTGTAGCCATATTATTATCAACCTCTCCCGTAGTTTTACCGTAGGACCGTCCTTCATATGATTTTTAAAAATTTTTCGAGTTTCGATTGCGAGTGGCGCCACCTAACAAACAAGCGAAGAGTTATGAAGAGGGGGGGAAGAAGTCATTATACTGACCGCGAGAAATTACTCCCGGCCCTGATAGTAAAGAGAATGTGGATATGTACAACTTCCTAACCTTTGTAGATACTAATTATGCTAGATATTACAGGATGATTGTGAATAAAATAAATTATTTACAGATTATCTAAAAACATAAGAAAGTAACTGGATTACCTTAAATTTAATTTCCACCTCCAAAATCCGTCAAATTTAAACAAAACAACGTAAAATTTCACAGAGAAGTGTGCCTTGGTTATGTTGATTACCCACTGACGACAGACAGCATTAGGAGGGAAATTTAAAAAAATATTCCAGTTGTCTCACTTAGTACACCGTCTCACCTAGTACCACCCTCCCCTAATAGTGCAGCAATTTTTGTCCATACATTTTAATGGAACTTTCCATCTGACCCTGATGCTCTTGCATTATAAACGAATCGGTGTCGTAGTCATTTCGGAATTCCGCAGTTTTTGTTCAAGTGGCTTTTTGGTAATGAGGAGATTATCGGATTCTACACTACAGTCATTGTAGTTACGCATTATGTACCTTTACACTTACACTCTTTCGCGTGCTATGAGCAGTCTGTGCAGCCACTGCGCATGCCCACATAATTTTTACTATGTGCGAAATGTTTGTCTTTACTAGAAGCGTCTGTGGTTAAAATTTCAAAGAAATGTCTCCATAAATATGAAAGTTGGCATTGCGCAGTCTGCGCAAAATATGGAGTTAAATGAAACTTATCGAAATGGGCAAATATAGACCATAACAGCTATCAATTAGCGAAAATCCGAAGTCTCTAGGTGGCCCAAGGGCCGAGATCCCGATGGAACGGACGGACGGACGGAAACACGAGCACATAAGCTTTACCTCAACTTCGTTGTGTTACGCTAAAAATAGAGCCGACGATAGATTGGTAGAGCTTTGCAAACAGTATATCCTGACGCAAATAAACACTACGTTATGAAAAAGATTCAGAGCTTTAGCGGATCTTTTCGAAAAGACGTGAAAAAAGTTGCAGAACCAAAGAAGAGTGGAACTGGGACAGACGATGTTTACGTGCCCACTTTATGGTATTACGACCTACTGCTATTTACCACTGATCAGGAAATACCAACTGGTAGTACAAGTAATATGGATACGGACGAATTAGAGGTAGTGGATGAGAATGAGGGCATAGGAGATGAAGGTAATGATGAGATGCTGAGGCCAGAACATACTAATGAAGCCGAAACTCAGGATACTGTAGTGGAAGAAAACAATAGAGAATGCGAATGTCGCCCGACACCCTGTATGTTCCGATCCTTTAAAAAGGGTGCCATTACTTGTACTAAATTTTCGAAAGTACTCCTATTGAGTCTAAAATGGTTTACATGTTTTTTTAAATAATTTTTATTATTGGTTTGATAGTCACATTCGGCACATTTAATATACATATATTTCTTAATATTATTTTGTGCAAGTAAATGTTAACAAATAAAAGTTTTATAGTGTTAATACCGTTGATTTCTTTTGGTGGCGGATCGGACCTTGGAAAACAAAATATCCCATGCAGAATGCTACCTCACAGACTCTTGCGCAATAGATATAGTAAAAGTACATTTTATTATTACCTTTTAAAATACCGACGGTTGTACATAAAGGCGTGGACATCTATTATTACGACTCGACCTGTTCAATAACAAAAACGTGTTAACATTTTTTTCTAATAGGCTTTAATATAATACTTACGGTCTCTGTACGCGCGGATCCATTCATTGAATACCTCCAACGTACGGAGCTGGGCTGCCGTGGACGGGGCACGGTGCATAAATTAATGCGGCGTACCCCCTGCGTCTTCAACACCTCCAACAGCCGTTGCAACTCTTTCTTGAGTACATGGAAAGATGTTTTCTGAAAATACAACAATATCTGATTAGGGCACCCAAATATAATGTCACTGAACACACTTACTCTCCGTACGTCGTTGGTCCCTATCATCACATAAACCTCACGACCAATTCGATAATCAAAGCCTATCGCTCTGCACCGCATTACTCGATTCCTTAGTTGGGCAATGGTCTGCCCCCCAACAGCCAGTCCAGAGTACAACTGGCCGGGTTGCCCAGGCCTTGTGGAAAGATACGCAGGTTCCCCAGCAATATGTGTTAGGAACCTGCGCATATTGGAGGCTCCCAGGAATGACACCTCTTTCTGCAATGAATTTTAATGTTAAATGCTGTTTTTATCATTTTTATTATGTATGTATATTAGAGTGGACCGTAAAAGGGTGAAAACTTTTTTGTACTAGGTCGCCCCCTAAAACGATTCTAAATAAATAAAAAAAATGTGCCAAATTCTTGACAGAACAGCTTCCTAGCTCAATCCAAAAATAGCGCTTTTGAAAGAGTGTCATTTTTGATACCGCCTGTTATATAAATCAATTAAGTAACATTGATCGAAATATAAGATTACCTGAACTATCACAAAAGAAATCCAAAATGAATCCATCCACAGAGATTTGGCAAATTTTTCATTCAAAAATGCAAAATGTTATCGTAATCGGATACTTTTTGAAAAAATTCCAATGTTTAAAATTTATTTATTTTTTTTTTTAAATTTAGATTAGGTTATATATTTAAACGTGTAACTCGACGTGTAGTTTATTTTAAGAATAAAATTGATCAAATCTCCATGTTATTTAAATGAGAATTTTCAAGCGCATTTAGGCGCGGTTTGATATTTACGAGTGTATTAAGCAAAAAAATAGGACACGACAATTTTTTATTTATTTGGAAGCGGCCTAGTCAAAAACAATTATGACCCTTTTAAGGTCTAGGCTAATGTGTATTTTTATTGACAACGTCTGAACTGTAAATTGCGGTTATAGAGCTAAAATACTAAAATTTAAAATATGCAAAAAATATAAAAAAAAAACAGTACGTATAAATTAACATGGCCGAAAGTACCCAGGTAGAACATTTACGTTTTTATAAGTTTCTAATTTGTCCGGTAGAAACATGAAACATCTTAGGAAACGTTTCCAATACGTTCCACATACACTCTAAAAACGTTCTATGTCCGCCCTCAGAAACGTTCCCAGCGAAACGTTTTGTTGTAATTGAAAATTAGAGCTGTTCACGCAGATTTTAATGTCTTTCATAAAATTTTCGTATGGAAAGGCACTGAAATTATCAAGTGGCCCGTTTATCTTTTCATCGTCTGTTAGGTGGATTAAATTGTGGACATTGTAAGTGATGCTATTATCGCCATAGAAAAGATCAAAATCTTCAACAAAACGTCTGAGCAATCGATTAGCATTATTGAGGTGTTCGAGTCAAATGCATATATAGGATGACATAGTAACCTAATTGCCACATGAAAAAGTAAAAAATGCTTATATTGATCATTGGGTAACTCTCCTTTTAATGCAAACGGACCCGTATACAATAAAAATTGCCGAAATTCTGTTGCCTTCCATTTATCAACAAAGTGCAGTGATCTAGGTTTTCTGGAAAAGATTGCATTAGGTAACGTTTTGTTTAGTAGCAACAATTTTTCGCATCGCATATAATGTTGTTTATGGACACTTCTTTATTTTGACCATGCCAATATATACCTTTGTTTTGCATATTATTCATGTCTTCAATGAACATCTTTGAAAATGCACATCTTTTGGCTTTTGGATGCCGTGATGTGCGCTAATTATAAAGACAGTTGGGTATCAGGAATTTTACCCAAAATTGGCCAAAAGGAACATGTTTCAGATATTGGCAGCCCATCTATGTTTATGTCCACTTTAATTTCATCAGGAACATTGTTATAAATCGCATTACTCGATAATGGTTGATAAACCATAAATTTTTTAGTCTACAATTGTTAATTCATGATTAAAAAAATTACACAACTGAATTAAAACTTAAAGTTACTCAGAAATACCCCAAACTGAAATAATTACCTACGTAATACGTTCATTATTATATTGGCGGTTGGAAAATCTACCTGCGTTCTTTTGTGATCTTCCACTTTTCTGCATGCTAATGTTTTATTTTTTTTACGCCACAACTAAAGTGCGGTATGAATAAATGAATTAAAAGAGATCAACGGTAGTTTATAGGATAAATTCTAAATAAAAAAATTGCATTTAGCTAAATAAGATATCTTAACAATTGCAAAAGGGTTATTAAATGTGGACCTCAAATGGATTCTTGAAAATTCCGCCTTCAACAACTGGTTTGCATGTGACCGTTATTGCTTTGTTACCTGATATTTTTACCTGCGATCTACTGTTTCAAGATTCAAAATACTAAACAAAATCCAATATGCAAGTGCATTATAGACTAAGGTAATTTGAATAATAAATAAGGGATCAATTAAAGTGAGCTGGAAAATACACCATATATGCATTTCATAGAAAGATAGATTCAAATTTTCGGTTTCTGTTGCTATATACATGTAACACAACAATATAATCCATTGAACGTATAAATATTTAAAAAAATCACTTACCTTTTCTCCAGACATATTTGCGATAAATGTCTAAAATAATAATCTCTACAGCAAAACACCTTACACGTATCACTTGCAAAACTGAAAACTGAATACTGAATTATGTTTACGCGAGTTAAAATGAAAAACACGGAAGGGCAAAACAGGTATACAGCTTAACAATTTTACGCATGTTTCAACTGTATGTAAATGTGCTGGTCAATGTAACAACCCTTTGAGTTTGTTTTGTAAGTCTGTTCCAAGGACACTTTCCAGTACGTCTACATTTAACGTTCTACAAATAACAAATATATGCCATGTTGGGGACTTCCCAAAGTTCCAAAAACGTTTTGTTCTACATGGGATACTAGCGCAAAAATTAAGTTCCACAGAAGAATCGTGGAACAGAACTCCCAAACGCAAAGCAACTTATCTAGGCGGACTCACATGTGTGAAACGCTAAGTAAAATTATTAAGCTCCGTCAAGTTAGCCCCCGCAATTAAAAAAATAATCTGTAATGAAAATTATTAAATAGTGCTAGTGTTGTGCTAAAATCAATTTTTTTTAAATTGAAACCCGGGGGCCAATTTGACTCCCAGCCCCCCGGTTTTTTTAACGTACAAATTCCATTACTACTTTAACGAGTTGTGCTCGATGCATATTGGATTGTGCCGGTCAAATATTCAAAAATAGTCTTACAGTACACGGTAGTTCCTGCACTGAAATCTCGGGGGCCAACTTAACTCCTAGTCCCCACGTTTTTTACAGATATGGAATAAGCAATAATGGCAATCAATTGTGCTGGATGCACAATGGATTGTGCCGTTAAAATTTTCGAAAATAGTTGTACGGCGCACGGTAGTTCCCGCACTCAAATCTCGGGGGCCAACTTGACTCCTAGCCCCCACGTTTTTTTTACAGATATGGAATAACCAATAATGGCAATCATTTGTGCTCGATGCTTACTGAATTGTGCCGTTCAAACTTTTGAAAATAGTCTTACGGTAGCCCATAGCTCCTGCACACAAATGTTGGTCGTCATCTTGACTCTCAGCCTCCACGTTGTGTATTCACGCACTGTGCGCTGTACCAAAAATGTATACAGTAGGACCGTAGATTGCCAACGAGGGTGCCAACTTTGAATGTGCTCGTAGAAAAAATCCAATAAAAGATCAACTATACGGGTGGGAGCAAGGAATTGTTGAAACTTTTTTATGTTTTTTGATATAAAAAGTATCATGATAAACGTAGGTTGTTAATGGAAAAAAGTGACATCGTAGCATGGCGTTCTCGGTATTTAAGAGACCTGTTATATACTTGTATGAGACCTATATCCACCGATCGTATGGAGTGAGTAAATGCTGGCAATCCGATGAAGTATCGGGATTTTATCAATCTAATACGGATGGTCAGAGGTAGGTACATCATAGATCATGCTGGTGGTCGTTCTGGTTTTGTAGAGGATATGGTTTGTTGTTGGTCAAGTAACGATAGTGATTGAAAAAAGTTAATAATACGGACAAGTGTTGTCAACCTCTGTACTGTCCCTATTCGATTCTTTTTTCTAAACTCGGACTGTTGTGTCTCTTCGCTTTTCACTAGAATTTATAAGAGTTTCTATTCCGCGCTGAAGCACTACACTTACATCATTATTTAAGTCTTTTTCACAAATGAAACACTTTTTTATGCTTTCTAGTTCCATATTGAACGCTCAATCACCGAAAACGCACTAGAAAAAAAAAACATAACTAATGGTCATTTGCACCGAGAAATTTAAGCTGAGCTTAGCTTAAGTGTTGCTTAAAATCCATGACAATGGTTGTCATGGATTTTGAAGCTACCCTTAAGCTAAGTTCAGCTTAAATTTTTCGGTGCAAACGGCCATAAGTATTCCAAAAGCTGGACGGCAGGACGTTATGTTCTATCAACAGCAAAATTTGACGGCAATGCGCGAAAAACAAAAAAATTTTTGGCTATATTCCAAAACCACGTATCCTGGTTGAACTGTTCGATGAACACATGGTTTTGAAATGTAGCAAAAAAGTTGGTTCTCTTTCGTTAAATGCTAGCCAATTATGCATTTGAATAACGAATGCGAGTTTCTGACGAAACAGCCAATAAGGATATAAAAAATCAAAAAACCACACTAAAAGAAGCAATCTTGCGTCGATGATTACCAAAATTAGGGATTCAATTGGATGTTCTTCAAAAGCTCCTCAGATTCGGAGCTTACTGCTCGTGAATCACGTCAGTTCCGTTTTTTGCGCTCGAAATTTTGAAAATTGAGAAACGGAATTTTTGGGCCGAATTTCGTCGCACTGTAGTGGCGTTAGTTTTTATCCGATTTTCATCAACAAGGTCTCATCTCAAAGGAAATTTTATGTACTTTAATTTATTACTGATGTGTCTTCGCCAAAACACCGATACCAAATGAGTTATTTCGCGTTTTGTGAAAAAACCGCCGATTTTCCGCCAGTTTTCCAAGATGGCGGCTCCCGCGTCATCCGAATTTTTGTGCAAATGTCAAATTCGGATTCAGCGACCCAAAAAAAATAAGCCCTGCATCACGGTTCCTTGTCTCAGAAATTTGCAAGGTCAAATCCTCTGGGGCCTGGACTATTTGCACATTATTTCGAAAAGAAATAATGTGACCAGTAAGACGGCTGTTGTTTATATTTGTTGTGTGTATTCCCAATGTCGCATATTTACTTGTCACTTATCTTACGACAGTATTAGCAAAGACGGTTTCATTCCAGGCCCGTGCTGGGGGCCATAAGGGGGCGGAGGCCAGGTATGCCGAGGGCGCAAGGCCTGTAAAATTACGTGGTGGGGGGGGGGGGGCTCCAGCACAATGGGAACGACCAACAAACTTTTGGAAAATTACTACTTCCATTCAATTAAATTAAAAAATTACACGTTCTTTTTGTGTTTAATTTTAAGCGCATTCACCCCCATCACAGCTATAACGCAACATAACAACACTTCAGAGAAACTACAAAAAAATCATCAAATCCACTCCACTAGTACATCTATACCACACAAAAAATATCGGATTTGGCGAAAAATTATCGTAACGTAATACTTTATTTTTTTTCAGAAGCACAGATAAAGATAAATGGGTGTTTCATCTGCACCATCATAAGTGAAAAGTACTGCATCTGCAGTTGTCGTTTTGTTAAATAGAAATCAAACACAATGACACCATCCAAATCCAATTTCAATGACGAAATAGTGTCATTATTCGTCTAATAATGTTACATGCATTTAAGGTGTTAATTAAAAATGCATTAATTAAACTTACCTTGGCCTTGACGCACATGCAGTTGCAATAGCAAAACAATAACAAACTAAACAAAGCTAACATACACGCGTGCACTTTAAACTTGAACTTGAACTGAAAGAATTAAATATAAAATAATCCTACTGCAGAAGTAAATGGGGCAAGGCAATGGCATGATCTTATATCAGATTTTATAAATGGATATGAATAGGGAGTCCTTAGATTATATTTCACTACTAATCATGTGCGAATACGAGTAGGTACTATAAAAAACAATTCTTACTTTGTCTTGTCTGGTGTCATAATCATTTATGTACACTACTACAAAATGATGTAAAGCAAAACGGTTTATCTTATCACAGGTTAAATAATTTCCGGTGTAATTCAAATTGAAAGTGGTATTTTTTATTTTTATGGGTAGTAAAACAAACAAACACTGCATACTTTGTGTCAAAAAGTAGGTAGACAATGCAAGCGTTGTAAAAGAGTAATCTAATAGTAATCTCTTAATGATTTCTGCCGAAGCGAAGCAGACTTTTATGAAGTGCTCTTTGTATTCTTATTTACTTTTGTTTAATTTAGTAACACACGATTAGTAATAAATTGTTTAATGTTTTGCTCAGTCTTAGGGCGCTACTTACAAGGGCGCAGGGGGATATGTCCCCCTATCCCCCAGGGCCAGCACGGGCCTGTAATTCATTCAGAGCGTTTTAGTCGCGAAGGGAGGTTTTAATCACGGAGATGATAATGTGGTTAAACGAAAGCAAATAAGGGGATACGATCGTACTATGGCCAAGAAAATATGACTGGGTTTAATGTTCAAAAGAAGACATTACAGGCCGATGACGAATTGGTAGGTTTAAAAACAATTCACCACATTCCCACTGCTGGAGCGGCTCGAAAACTCAAATCAGAATCAGAACTGCGAAAAGGATTTAGCGAAGGATGATTACGAGGCAGTGGCGCTAATGTTTAAAAACCAAAAGCGTCTCTACATACATCCATCATCACTACAATACGTCCCACATCGTAGTTTATTTACAATTGCAGTGGACCTACCTTTTATGTTTAGACTAGTTGGGGACGTCCCTTTATATTTAGATTGCACGGGAACTGTTGTGAGAAAATTTCACGAAAACAGCAAGCGAGTTTTCTACGCCGGTGGAATTCATTACCCCGCGGAAGGAAAAAAATTACGTTGCCCGTATGTGAAATGATATCGAATTCGCATACATCGACAACAATCGGAAATTGGCTTCACCATTTCGTTGCAGGTAGCCATTCAACAGTGTCGTTACAGATTTTAGTAGGGCTCTTATTAATTCGTCAGTAGGCGAATTTTGCAAAATTACGGTCTTACAATATTTGGATTACCCATACCCAATGCCCATAGACATTTAGCTCACAATATCGCCATTCCGCCTTTTACAATCCACATTTGTTGTGCACATTTCCTTAAAATTGTAACGGGAGATGCGAAAAAAGTTGCGGCGAAAAATAAAGGATTAAAGACTTTTTTGATAGCGGGAAATGTTGGCCAAGAGTTACCAGGATTGCGAACTATTTGTCGATTTCGTCACAGTTTTGGCAAATAAATACTCCTCGCGTACCGTCACATTTGTATTAAACAGACTTATTAGTAGTACAAGGGAAGCGCCAAATGAAGATATTGATGCAGCAGCATCGTCAGACTTCTATGAACTCGACGAAAATATAAATTTAAAAAGTTTGTACACAAAAAGCCCTTTGTATATAGATTTTTTGACAATCCGTCGGTCTATCGAACCCGAACAGAATGACGCAAACCTTGCTTCGTAATTGAATCCCTTGCACTGTCCCGAGTTTCTACGCATTTGTGTAGATAAATACATGCCATATTTCCCTTTATGGTCCGGTGTGTTTGTAAAAAAACAAAGAAAAATACGTATTGTCCAATTCTATAGTTGATGGATGGTTTAATGTGGTAAAGAATTACATATTAGAGAAACAAAGAAATACAGTAGATTTATTGAACAATTGACCCAATATTTACTGTATAAAGAAAAAGAATTAAATTTCAATTTGTTAAATAAGAGTGCGAGAATTCAAAAAGACATACTAGCGCACCAAACAGAAGAATCGTGGAACAGAACTCCCAAACGCAAAGCAACTTATCTAGGCGGACGCACATGTGTGAATCGCTTAAGTAAAATTATTACCACCAAACCGCTTCCTATGGATTTTAACGAAAATGGCGTTTTTAAATACAATTCTTTGTTTAACATTTTGATGTTGCTGTTCCCAGTTCATGCGCACATTGCCAAGTATAACTTGCCTGATCAGTTTTACTACAGGGACTTGGACTTTTACAACTATTTCACTTTGAAAGAAACGCAATGGATAGCGTCTTTTATTATTGACCTTTTTGCCCAGTTAATCATAAAAGATAAATCAAGTTTTTACGCTATAAATCACACACAGGTCCCTGAATTGAACAAATTCGGCTAGTAGAGAACGGACGTATTGTTTTTATCCCTATGCTGATGGACGCCGGTCATTGGTTTTTATTAGTTGCCAATGGGAAGAGCAAACATTTCCACATTTTAAATAGTTTACATTCTTTTAGAGAAATTACTGCGAATCATTATTTCAATGTGTTTAAGGGAATGCTGGTTTCGTTAGGGATAGATACCAGTTCTTGGGAATTAATTAATGTAAAGCACCCTAAACAAACGGACGGCCACAATTGCGGCGCATTCCTGATGCTTTACATTGAAAATATTGTTTTAAATGAGGGCTCGTATGTTTATGACAGTGCATTTAATGCAAATCAATATCGCATTTACCTACAGAACTTTTTGCTGCAAAAATCAGTCGCCAGGAAAAATTATTGCATACATTGTTCACGTAGGAAATCCCACCCGAATACAATTGTTTGGTTTCAATGTACAGGCGGCCTCACATACATGGCAAACTAGACGAACGTTGGTGATGCGTCGAGTTTGCCATATAATGTGGGGCCGCCTTAAAGGAAAAAAACACATAATAAACACTTTGACATACGTTGCTGTGATACAAAATGCACACTGCACAGGAAGCGAATATTCTTGGAATCAGTGCGACAAGTGTAAACGTTTGGTACATTTCAATTGTTTGAAGAACCCCGAGTCAAATCCAGACGAATACAAGAAGCGACCCGTCTCTGGAAGCGAACCATTAAGTGCAAATTATATCATTATGCACTTTTCGTTCAGATCTGTACAGGCCATAATAAAGCAATCGAAAACGTACCTCCAAATACAATTGCACTGTTTTCTTCTTTGTCATCTGCATTGTCCATCATGGGGTCATATGGGTATACCATGTTATCAACAAGCCATATATTTTCAAATCCTGACATACAAACATGACTTCTGCAATCGCTAGTTGTATAGCCAATATGTTCACCACACGTCCCTGAAGTGAGCAGGACATGTATGAGCTCAAAAATTGTTCAGAGTTTTATTATTTTGAGCTTTTCAACGGTAGCGTTTGCAATTTTTGAATTCCAATAGTTCGTTCACAAATCAATTTTGAAAAAATGCTCTGCTAACTTCACGTCAACTTGACAAGTACGAGCTCAAAAATTATAATTCGATCATTATTTATGAGCTTTTTTTGAGCTTTTCAACGGTACCTATTTCAATGTTTGAGCTCTCATGGATATTTCACAAATCAAATTTATAAGTGACCTGCTAACTTCACGTCAATTTGGCAAGTACGAACTCAAAAATTACAATTTGGTCATTATTTATGAGCTTTTCAACGGTACCTATTTCAATTTTTGAGCTCTCATGGATGTTTCACAAATCAAACTTATAAATGACGTCCCAACTTCACGTCAACTTGACAAGTACGAGCTCAAAAATTAAAATTCGATAAAAATTTATGAGCTTTAATGCCACCAATCCCAATTTTTAATTCTTGTAGTTATTTCAGAAATCCATTTTAAATGTCTCTTGCTGAAGAGCAAACACCGCAAGTAAATTATCAAGGTGTCATAAACAAATCTTGTAGGATATGAATATTATAGTATTAACCGCATTTACTTTTAAAAAAGGAGCATTTAGTAAAAAAATTCCACGCGTAATGGAGACATAGGTATTTAACCAGGAAAATCAATTGTTCACTGAGCGTTCTTTCTTGATCTATAAGGAACCCGGTATACTAAGTTTCTAAACGATTCGTGGCTTAAAAAATGCATACGAACGCGACACACAACACTATAAAAGATGTGAGGATCTATAATAAACAATAAATGCCTTAACGCTTTATTTCTAATCAATATTTAAATAAGCAGGGGTCTTACAATGATTATATCACACCATGAGGATAGCAGTATATAAATTTCCGTCATCGTTTGATATGATGGGAGTTTTGTAGTTAATTACCCCGCGTAATCTGTAAGGATGTTGATGGAAGGTGATGACAGATGGTATGTCGGACAGCAGACATCTAATAAGGTCCTCCTGTCCAACATCTATAAACGGTTGGTCGGCGCTTTGATTTTCATTGTTTGATAAAACCTCCATAAATATAACAAAGGGGATAGATTGCAGACCCTCTCTATCAGTCCAGAACAATAATGATTCTCTGCAATTAAAAAAGAGAAAATTCCTGAAATAATAGTTTTTTTAAATTATTTGCTTGGAATAGCAACTCTGATATTAACGCAAAGGGTATTTGACTCCTGTATGGCGAGAGCATAACAATCAGGGCCTACCACACAAAATAAGCATAAGAAAAATGCGGTTTGCGATATGTCTTGAAGTTTTGCATTTTGATTCATTTGTGGTGGCTCTCTGTTCTGTTTTATTTTTTTCGTTTTGTTTATTAGAAATATAATTTATGTTTACATTTTGGATAAACCCACAATATTCCACCCACACACTAATGGGCCACCCTGTATAAATATTAAATTATATTGATCAGGAAAATTGAACCCCATGAATATAACACGTTTGTTCACATATCACTGGGAAACCGACACCATGATAGTTGATGCCGAAAGATGAGCTTGGGTGTAATGTTCATTTTAGCAAAACCGACGGCAGATAAGCAAAATCTACCGTTATGTCCTGTAATTCGATTTTACAATTATCCACGGTAATTGAACCATTACAAAAATGACATGTTAAATACTTACCGCCATTATTATCAAATCAAATAATATCACTCTGTAGCTAACTAACTACCGTACCGAACATCCGACTTCGTGGCACTTCGTTAATTTGTAGGCGGTGATCTATTTGTCAAGTTGACTTGAAATTGGCAGGTCATTTATAAATTTGATTTGTAAAATAACCGTGAGAGCTCAAAAATTGAAATAGGTACTGTTGAAAAGCTCAAAATAATAAAACACTGAACAATTTTTGAGCTCATACATGCCCTGCTCACTTCAGGGACGAGGTAGAACAAGTATATCCAGGATTTTTATTTATCTACATTGAAATTACACAATTATAGGTAGGTACCATTCGGACACTTGTACTTAAAATCGTGTGTAATTTTACAAGTAATTATGTTATGAAGTTCACATTCCTCTTTCATCATCATTTACGCTACGGTAAGAATCAGTTATCTGTTACGATATTATTTTTTTAATGAATTATTGTTGTAATTGTTGCATTTTGTCCGAAATATACCTACACCAGGTATGT